AGCTCACCCTAAACACAGCTCAAAATACCAATAAGAAAATAAGCACTGACATAAACCCTGATGTCACAGACACAGGGCTTGATATACCCAATACAGGAGAAAAAGAAGACAAAACCAAGAAAAGGCAGCAAATATGGTTTGTCCACATAAAGCACAAGAATCTTGACTATAAARACCATATTTTAGCAATATCTGAAGAACTGCTTAAAGCATTTTATGGGAAGACAAGAATGAAAAATAAGCCACAATAAAAAAATAATAATAACAATACTTATGGTTCAGTTAACCATTTCTCAGTCCCTTCCATTTGGAAAACAGTGAAAATCCTATGCAGTTGTGGCTGTCATGGTGTGAAGTGATAAATACAATCAATAAGAGTTTAAGTTATAGGTTACAGATTAGTAAAAAACATATATTATAGATATAAGATTTTGATAAGTACGATAAGGCAATTATAAAGCAAGAACTGTCATAGGCCTAAGACACTATTTTGCTGCCTTCTATAAAAACTGTTACAAGATTTGTTTCTGAGAAACTGAAATGAAAGTTGTTTTCATATAATATATTGTTTACTGTATTTTGTACCCCAAAAAATGTACTTAACCCAGGATATGGTGGTCTTGGTGACCCAAGACTTTGAAGTAGATTTTCACCCCCACTAACTGACCAAACTCAGGATATGGTTGTCTAACACCTGCTCGGACCCAAGATGTAGATAACCAARTTGGTTTTCGTACTTAAATTCCCAAGACACAGGCCAGGAAATTGTTGCTCTCCCACAGAGCTTCAGTCTTTATGGGTGGGTGACAGTCCCTGGCCAGGTAAATAAAGCTCTCTTTGATTTGAATTCGGGCTTCGAGTGTTTTCTGAAATGGCTCTTCATAATAGTGGCTTAAGAGACCACARCCTGTTCTGCTCCATAAGTTTCCTCTTACTTTTTCTGGCAACTGTGAATTATCTTCCATTTTGCCTATCTCTTCACAATCACTTTAGTTTTCATTTTTTTATTTTTTATTTTATTGGTTCTTTTAGTTGTATACAAGAGTAGAGTCCATTTTGATATAATTATACAAGCATGGAATATATCTTATTCTAATTGGGACCCCAGTTATATGGATGTACATGATAGAGAGATTCACTATGGTGTATTCACATATGCACACAGGAAATTTACATCACATTCATTCCACTATCTTTCCATTTTGTATTCTCCTGCCCTTTCCTTCATTCCCCTTTGTCTAATCTACTTAACTTTTTTCAAGATCCTTATTACCAACTGCACACTAGTCTCACTCTCCAGCTAGAAACTCAAACCCAAGTAAATTGTATATTCTCTATGAAAGACATTTTCTTCAGTGAGTCATTTACCAGAGAATGAACACAGGGCCAGTAGTACCTCTGTCATCTATTCTCTGAGTGAACACATGCTGGGTAACGGTAGGGTTTTTACAATGTCCTTTGAATGGAAACAGTAATTGTCAGAGCGAATTAGAGAGATCCCACATAGGCAAAAATGTATGTGGATGACATATCAAGCCATTACATCAACAAAGAAAAGAACTCAAAGCAGCTTAAATAAAAACAAGTCTCACTTCACATAATGGAAGGGGCTAGAAAGAGGACTTCACTGGGCCAGAGCAGCAGTTCCAGGATCCCACTCTCCAAGCACCTCACAACCTTGCATAACTATTTAGCACATAGGGAGCAGCTCTCCAAAGTGGGGTCCTTAAATGAGGGAGGGGAAATATTTCTCAGAAGCCCCATACCATGTACTAGACAAACACATGCCTATGCCCTACAAAATTAGAAAAAAATGAATCTGGCATTGTCAGCCACTAATATGATCGTTTCTTAATTTAATAAACCTTCCTAACTACAGAAAGTCAGTATTGCATCTTGACCACCAAAACTCACACATAAGTCTTGGTAATAACTAGTTTGAGCGATGGCATTTTTTCCCTATTTTTTCCCATTTTATTCTAAAAACTAACCTTACCTACTTTAGGCCTACTTTTAGGATTAATGTTTATTTTAWTTTTTTTTAATTGTTGGTCGTTCAAAACATTACATAGTTCTTAATACATCATATTTCACAATTTGATTCAAGTGCGTTATGAACTCCCAATTTTACCCCGTATACAGATTGCTGTATCACATCAGTTACCCTTCCATTGATTGACAWATTGCCTTTCTAGTGTCTGATGTATTCTGCTGTCTGTCCTATTCTCTACTATCCCCCCTCCCCTCCCCTCCCCACCCTTTTCTCTCTCTACCCCTTCTACTGTAAATCATTTCTTCGATTTGTATTATCTTGTCTTACCCCTCCTTTCCTCTTATATGTCATTATGTATAACCCTGAGGATCGCCTTCCATTTCCATGCGATTTCCCTTCTCACTCCCTTTCCCTCCCACCTCTCATCCCTGTTTAATGTAAATCTTCTTCTCAAGCTCTTCGTCCCTACCCTGTCCTTGTTTACTCCCCTTATATCAAAGGGGTCATTTGGTATTTGTTTTTTAAAGATTGACTAGCTTCACTTAGCATAATCTGCTCTAATGCCATCCATTTCCCTCCAAATTCTATGATTTTGTCATTTTTTAATGCAGAGTAATACTCCATTGTGTATAAATGCCACATTTTTTTTATCCATTCATCTATTGAAGGGCATCTAGGCTGATTCCACAATCTTGCTATCGTGAATTGTGCTGCTATGAACATCGATGTAGCAGTGTCCCTGTAGCATGCTCTTATTTTATCACTATTTGCAGAGGATTAATGTTTATAAACATTTCCAAATCAACTGCAGGCATCAGTGGCAATCTTAATGATTAACCKGGGAGGAAAAATATCTCAAAGCAAAAATCAAATAATAAATTTACTTGACACGTACTCGGCATTATCCTCTCTAGAACGACCCATCTACAAATTTTGGCTCTGTTTTTCTAACTTTTTCAATAGTCATTAATATAAATAAAGTGGCATGACAAAGTCTACAGAGTTAATAAAATGTGTTTCTACTTCCCAAGCAGAAACATGATTGGTCAGTTTGAACTTTCCATAATGTTAACCATCTGCCAAATTATTCAGAACTCTCCTAGAAAAAGCCATGATCCTCCACACACTAATTAGATGAGTCAATGCTGTAATGATCCTTTAGATAACTAATTTACTCAAGTCTGATAATTTAATTACCCAATTTTGATAAATAAATTCTAATCTTAGACCAAAATGATTAAAGGATTAAAGGTTAAAATCAGCGAATGCAAACTGAAATAGATCCACTATTATGAAGTCCAAAACAGTTTGTTTTTCTCTTAGAAGTTTATTATCTCAAATTCCAGAATTAAAATATATTAATATATCCAGGTTTTCTAAACCAGTTCTGATGTAGTATTCCTTGTACTTCTATTTAGTAAATTCATGATTGGTAGATTTAAAATTCCCTAAGAGTTGTCTTTACTGACTATCCCATACAGTTCCATCATCTCTTCTCACTCTTTTTGCACAACGCATTTCACCTACTATTACATGTATATCTGTGTGTGTCAGTTACAAGTGCACGCTGACAAGTAGCAGAATATCTTGGTGCCCCATCTCCTGTGCCTAAAAAGACTGCCTGACATTTGGACACTCAGTAAACATAAGAAAATGACTATCTCAAAGATGTGAACTTATAAGTAGTAAATGTGTATTATTACTTATGTACTTTTGCACATAACTATTAATTATGGTATGACTTAAATACCAAGAATAAAAAAAATCACAAGGAAAAACAATTGCTACTAGCAGCACTACCACAAGCAGCCACCACCAGTTTAAAATTGGAATAAACGATTTAATGCTGATAATAAGGGTATGTTGTAGGTTTTCCCATTTTAAGAATGAGAAATTAAAGCTCRGAGAAGTAAAATAAGATGCCCGGGGTCAAACAAAATAAATAAGCAGATCAGAACAACAGAGCTCTGACTCATATACCCTTAATGCTGACCTGCAATGTCTATGTGTATCATTAAGGGACAAAAGCAATTAGTATCAGCATCTAAACTGCAGGACACTGAGCCCATCTATATAAAGAACTGGACAAAGCACAGYACTCASAGTGATTTCCACAACTGATCAGGCTACCAAAATGTGAGACATGTTTAAAAATTAAACACCACTTGAATGTTTCTTCCAAAAGAAATACCTCAGAGTCACAGACTAGTCTAGTAGATAAATGGAGTTAAAGTATAAATAACTTATGTCCTTGTAACCAGGCCTTAGGATAAAGTATTCAGTGAAAACTAGTGTGTTAAGCTGCTCTTTTCTAATTCAGTTCTACTTTAAATTTAGCCATGGTCATTTTCTACTGTCTTTCACTTCTTTGTTAGTGTCCATTTTATATTTTTCATCCAATTCATTTATTTACAATTTGTACATGACTAGTCAAGTTCATTTGCTGCTCCATGAAATGAATGCATTGATTCTCTATGCCAGTCATGGTTTCTTAGATATTTAGTCATTATTTCTGCCCACATATTTTATGTTTCCCTGAAAAACTGGCAGCCATGTGGAAGTTCAAGGCTCCTTTCAATACCTGCACTTATAATTTGTAACAAGATAATTTTATCCTTCAAGAAGCTCACATTAAAAATATACCCATTATGTATTCTGATTTAGGTAGAATAAAATTAGCCTCATTTTCCTACAATACAAATATTGTGCTTGTTTATAGGTGACATTGGAAATCAATGCCCATCTTAATTCACCAACAAGGAAAGATCTCTTACAGTAGACCACAATGTTTCTTACCAATGTAACTGGTCAAAAACATAGTTTAAAAGTTATAAGATGGGCAATATTTTTAAACAAATGTATTACACTTCATGTGCCTTTAAGCATACATTCAAAAGCCCTCTGATTACAGTGGCACACACACTTCAGTACTTCATTAAACAAAGGCATTGTTTTCCACACAACAACATGTTTCAGCAATATTTTTCAACTTGACAGTTTTACTTACTGTCTTAGAAGCAGTATTAATGTACTGCATCACCATTTCTTTTTTGATRCCGAAGTCTTTTTCCCGCAATGGTGCCTTTTTATCTTCATTTAAATTCATATCTTCCTGGAAAACACAATTAAAATGCCTGGTTTTAGAATCTAAATAGTGTGGCAATTCTATATACGCTATGAATGGAAAAATCAATAATTTGTGACTAAAGCAGCATTAATTGTTTTGAAATGATTTACRTGTAATTCTGCCTAGAGAAAGGAAGACAGAGGAAAGCTGGAGAGAGAGAAGAAAGTATTCTAGATGAGTTTAACAGGTAAAATGCTTACCAGAAAATCTAAATTCACAGCAGGCTATTAAAGTTATATTCACATCACTATGGATAATTAGACAGTTGCAAATTTCTGCCTTTCCTAAGGTTATTAGGATTCACAATTTTAATTATTTTTTTTAAACAGCTGTACCTGAAGCTATCTTGTACTGTTTTGAAAGAGCTGTTGTGTACCAGAAAAATTAGAAAGTAAATAAACTTCCACTTCCCCGATTCTGAAAGCTACAAGAACACGACACAATCAAATCACTAGAACTGATTCCAGCAAATGACAAAGCATCCTATGGTTTTAATTTATTTTTCCCCATCTCTTTCTAAAACATTAACTAGTTTATTAACTGAAAGATCTAAAGCACATAAAAATTACACTAAAATAAACAGGTACCACCTAAAAATCTAACATTCCTCAAGAGCACCAACCAAAATAAGCGTTTAAGCATCATATATGTCCCTATGGAAGTAACTTTGACTAAAAATACAAGTCAGGCATATCCARACAAACATAAGAATTGCTATCAATTACGTTGCTTAAGAGGCTGCTCTGGAAGAGCAGAAGAAAGGGAGACAGAGGTAAGAAAGAAATGACTGAAAATGAAGGGAAGCTCAAAGGGATTTCCTGCCAGCCTTAGCCCTGGGCCATATGTGATAAGCAATGTTAAGTACTTGTATATACATCAACTCCATGTCTACTCAGAATAGGTCCATGAAAATCAGGACTTTGGGTCATCTATTGACCAGGTTATCCAAACTTAAACTTAACAGTAAGTAAGTTTCTGCCAATTTTTATAAGGGAGCTACATTCACCGGGTACTGAAGTTTATGCCTTTATCCAACTCAGTTGTTGGCCACCAAACCTCAAGCACTTAAAATTCAAAATTCCCTTCGCTTCATCTTGAGAGAAATATTTGAGATCTTAGAAATTGTTCCATTTGACACCTCAATAAAAGGTAGTAATTATTAATTCCACTCTTGTCACTACTCCAGTTAGAAATATCCTTGAAATTAGGTGAATAATAGCTTGTTTTATTTCATTTTTTGTCTGTAAACTAATAATTCTCAATAGGCTTTACTACCACTTAGCAGTTTTAGAAATTTCTAGAGKCATTCTGGTTAAAAGTGACTGAAGTGATGCTTTAAGCATTTATAGGAGCAATCCCTGCTAGATTTTCCCTGGTTACACTCACAGGACAAAAAAATGTTCTGCACCTACAAGAGATTCACAGACCTTTAAAAATAAGAAAGACTGTGGGGCTGGGGATGTGGCTCAAGAGGTAGTGCGCTCGCCTGGCATGCGGGTGGCCCTGGGTTTGATCAAATAAAGATGTTGTGTCGGCCGAAAACTAAAAAATAAATATTAAAAAAAAAAAACTCTCTTTCTCTCTTAAAAAAAAGACTGTGGAATTAGATATAAACTGTAAAATGGAACCAATTGTTAAATCGTAACATATTATGTATTTTGTATTGCCTGGTTTTAATACACCAAATTTCTCAAGAATCCAACTATTCTGTAAATTATACTTACAATTCTTTTAAGCTTTATCAATAGTTCTACTCCATTTCTGAAACATAGGTATCCCAGGCCAATACTGTTTGTGGCATCTGAATCCTCAAAACAGCACACTGTGTCAGTCTGTACTGTAGTGTTGTACTTACAGCGGTATGAACCAGAGAKTCAAGAATGTTTCTTTACTTTCTTCAATAGTCAGTGCCACTTTACACTGAAATACAAACTAATTATGTAGTACAGAAAGGTGGTATATTGATTTTTTAATTATGGATGTAGGTAGCTTGTATTATATAAATAATTTCACTGGCAATATGCCAGGCATGGAAGAGACAAACACTACATGTTTTCCCTCATGTGTGGAAGCTAAAAAWGTTGATCATATARAAAGTACAAAGCAGTGTTAACCAGAGGCTGGGAAGTGGTTAGGGGAGAGGGAAAAGAGAAGGGCTATTCAATGGTTATGAGGAGATAATAAGATTAAGTTCTAATGTTCTGTAGCACAGTGGGTTGCTACAATTAATCATTTATTTTACATCATAATAACTGAAATAATTTTGAGTGTTTCCAACCCAAAGAAATAGTGTTTGAGGTAAGAGATACCCTAATTACCCTAATTTGATCATTGAACATTGTATATGTGTTGGAATACCACACCCTACCCCATCAGTATGTACAATTATCATGTCACAAGTAAAAATAAAAAGATCTTACTGAAAGCAAGTAATAGGGAAGCTAGGGGATAATTGTTATAAAAGGTGGGGGGAAACCTAAGAGTTCTGAGAATCTCTCATAAATTATTCACTATTAATTTCCAATTGTTAAACATAACAGCCTCTTTAACCAGCAAATTAAAATACTTAATAGATACAGAATACTAAAAGACATAAAGCCCATTACCTGTGGCCAAAACTGAATTAAAATTTCAAGATGGATAGTTCAAAGAAAAAGAAAAGCAGCCACTTTCTTTTTAGAAAGATGTTTCCAGAGGACATGAGTTCATACACAGAAGGGGTCCTGATGGTTAATTTGAGGTTCATCTCTGGGATTCAGAATGCCCAGACAGCTGGTGAAGCAACATTTCTGGATGATCTCTTAAGGTGATTCCAGAAGAGATGAACATTTGAATCAATTGACTAATTAAGAAGATTCAACCTCACCCAATTGGGCAAAGCACTATCCAATCAACTAAGGGCCCAAGTAGTACAACAAGGCAGAGGAAAGGTGAATTCATTTTCTCTTCTTTAGCTGGGACACCTTTCTTCTGTCAGATTTTGAGACCTGAACCAATGTCTGCTTCACTTCTCCCCCACCCAGGTTCTCAGGCCTTTGGCCTTGGACTGAGCCACACTTCTGACTTCCCCCATTCTCCTGCTTGCAGAAGGCCTTTCAAGAAACAGTCTCCATATTCTCTCAAGTCAATTCCTTTAATGAACCTTCTCTCATGTATCACTAAGTTTGTGTATATTCTATTGCTTCATGCCTTTCTGGAGAACTCTGGCCAGTGTTTTCTTTTGGAATTAAGAAAGAGACCCAGAATTCTCCAATTGTTTTCCTCTGGCTAATGACACCTCTCTTGCTGATATATGGCACTAATCTTTCTGACAAAACTGTGATGATAGCTTCAATGTAAATACAAAATGAAATAAAGAAATGAGGCCACAAAAAAGGAATTGACTACCCAACACCACAAACAGTCAAGGAGCACCCAGTTGGCATGGAACTGCATGCAATAGGTCATCACTCTCTGCATGTCCTTGAGGAAATGGAATGGCAAAGATACGCTTTGCCCTTTATAAAAGGAACAAGGGAGCAATGGAGATGGGGGGAAAAACACATATTTCAAAGTGTAAAGGTACAAGATTTTTAGAACAAATTATTTTCAATCTATGGAGAAGCAGGCTACAGGAAGAAAACCTCAYGAGGCAATGCTAGTTAACTTCTGGAAATGGTAAAGTCCTTGGGAAATGTACTGAGAACTTTTTCCTAGAAACTTTGTGTCCATATGTTGTATGTCYAGAAGAATCAAGTATCTCCCAAGGCTATTGGACAAACTAAGCAGCAAAAGGTCAGCGAGGGAGAACAGTGAGAAAGTCTTTAATTTTCACAATTCTCAGTTTCTWTTTGCTCAATTGTATCTCCATTGTCTTAGGTGAGATTCCCCAGAGGCAGAGACTGGGACAAAAACAGACACAGGTGATCTGTGGAAGAGATAATCTCTAGAATAAGGTACTTTCCTGGCTACTTGGGGTTGGTTTTTTTTTGTTTGTTTGTTTGTTTTTGGAATCCCATGAATTTCCCCCAATACCAAAATATTTTTGATTAACAGTACCTAGCTAAACCTACACATGGATATTTCCTGCCTTTTGTCCCACTCTGATTTCTCTTCTAAAAGCTTTCCTTGCCCCCTGACTCATCTTTGGAGATTCATTACAGAAAGTTCTCCTCTTGTTCCTCAAAGCCAGCATTGAATGGACCTACTTTCCTGCCAGCCTTCCTCCAGATGGTTAGTATAGCAATGAGCAGGAAATCCCTCCCTCTATAAACAGTTAACACATTACTTATTCACTGATAAAGATATACTGAGAAGGGTATATGACCTCTACAGTATTCTTCCCAAAATATTCCTCAATAACCATGAGAAAGGAGAAAAGATAAATTTAAAAAAGATAAACCCAAATTGAGGACCCTTTACACAAATAACCAGGAGTGTCAAGGTCATAAAACATAAAGAACTGTCCTTGACTGGAGTTGGCAAGGRGACATGGTGACTAAATGCAAAGTGTGGTTTAGATTGGAACCTGTAATATAAAAAGACATAACTGGAAATAAAGTCTACAATTTAGTTAGTAGTATCTATGTTTTTTTTCTTATTTTTAATAATTGTCCTAATGTTATATAAGATGCTGATATTAGGGAAAGCCAACTAAAGAGTACAGAAGAATTCTAAAATTGCAACGCTAAAATTATTTCAAAGTAAAAGTTTTAAAACATTAAAATAAGCCAGGMATAGGGGGGTGCATGCCTGTAATCCCAGTGGCTCAGTAGGCTGAGGCAAGAGGATCACAAATTCAAAGTCAGTTTCAGCAACTTAGCTAGGCCTAAATGACTTGGTGAGACCCTGTGTCAAAATAAAAAAGGGCTGGGGATGTGGTTTAGTAGTTAAGCCCAGMGTTCAATCCCCAGTACTGGGTGTGTGGGGAGAAGGATGAAATTAAAATATTTTGAACAATTTTATGAATAATTTGAAAACAATAAAAATGGAACATCACTCTTTCA